AGCTAGTTTTTTAGTCGGTCGTTAATCTTATTTTTTCTATATTTACTTCCTTCACATGGACATTTAATCCCTTTTTATTATATATATATATATATTATAAAAGCTGAAAACTGATCCCTATGGACGGAGACACAATATAAAAAAAAGAAAAATACATATATATTTATATATACCAAATATAAAGAGGTTTCACCTTCTGTCTATATAGATATGATGACTGAGTATATAAAATATTTCGAGATAGATTACGTTTGACAGCCTCAATTACAATGATTTTAATTCTGTGTTGAATAACTCTGGATAATGCAGTAGCGACGTCCCTGGTTATTCTCCCGAGTGAGATTTGAATGGCTGATCCGTCCGGATCAATATCTGCTCGCCTTTTAAAACACCAGTAACAAGTGACAAAGGCAAGTCATTATATGTTTCAATGTGTTATATGCTTAAAATAATCAAGAGGAGGTCTTTTGTATAGACTGTGAAATAAATGAAATTTGAACATTGACACATAGGTATAAGATATCATGAGTAAGATATGAATTTTCGTTGGACCCGAGTCATGGATGAAGTAAGTCATTTTTGTTCTTCATGCCAAAATTTACAACTAACCCTACATCATTGTTTTCGCCCATATACCGTTTCACAACGTACAAATTAATATTTTAATTTCCGTTATAATACAAGACATCTGTTTGTTGTGTGATGAATTCTTATACATAGGGCATTAAGTAGATAACTGTGATGTAATACATTTTCATCTTTGAAAAATCGTCACATTGTGATGCAATAGAATCTAACCAGACACTGCACAGAAGAAGACGAAACAGGATTATTTTTAAGATTAAGTGCCTACTAGCGGCAATAAGAAATACAACGATAAAGGGTCCCAAGAACAGCAATTCAATGCCTATATTGATTTTTCTGATTTATTTTATTTTAAATAGTCTAGGAAAGAAAAGCAAAACAACTTTTTTAAATGTTTTGAAATAATTATGTGAAGGTCTTTGATAAGGACACGTTATTGTTATATTTATCTGGAGGGACCAATCACTTCAAATCGAAAAGAGTGTTGTAAACTGTTTCAAATAGAGTGCAATAGTGTTTGTGTAAAATATACAATTCACAATGTCGGTGTTAATGTTTCGTCGGTCTTTGCTGTTATGTACGTTATCTAATAAAACAACACCCTCGAAATCGCAGGAATTACGCTTACCTACGTTCCCAGTTTCCCTGGAAAATGTCATGACAAAATTGAAGGCCCTTTAAGCATCATGATGCCGAAGTTACAATCGGACTAGTTTTATTCGTGTATGTATATTAAAAGAATCGCATTGCAGCATAACGGTAACATTGACTGGCTTTGAAATCGGGTGTTGCTTCTTTGTATTCTCAAAGGATAGGAATCAACCTAGCGATGGGTCAATTGTCTATAACTGAAACCAATCAAAGAGTAACTCCGTGCCCTCAACGCTGTCATGACATTTTTTAGGGGTGAAGAGAATGTCACAGAGAGTATTTTGTTTCAATTTTACGAAAGAACTTTGAACGTAAAACATCATATATGGAAAGGTCGACATGTCCATGAATGTTTGTATATAATATATAAAAGGTAACAGGTATGTGTGATTCATAAACAATTACTGCCTTACTCCATTCCTATTTTTGGTTCATTCCGTGCGTTTTAAAAAAATATCTGCTTAGGATATTCAACCTAACTGATGTATATATATAGTTAAGTCATTCTGATTGAATGGATCTTGAACGGTTGCAATTGGGGTTTTTTTCTTTTGTTTTTACTTTATGTGTATATGTGCTCATGAATTACCGTTTCGTCTAGTCCTAACCTATGTTTACACTAATGGCACACACCTGTGATTAAAACAAACATATATTAGTATTCCTTAATATAAATATTGTAAAAGTGTTATTTATTTGATTATGTATGTTTTATTGGAAGTCAATGTAAGGGAACATCATAGTAGAAAAACAACTGTAATATAATCTTAATATATTTGGTTTCCCACTTTGAAGGAAATCTACAACAAATCACTTTGCCAATTTATCCAGAAAACACAATGACGTTGGAAGTTTATCAAAATATGTACGCTTCCTTATTCATTCTTCGTATTATCTTTTTCATATTATGATATATGATTCATAAAAGAAAAAAAGCAGTTTTAACAGATTCAGAAATATTTTAATAGAAGTTACATGCCACGATAGCCTCGCCTATGCTGTTTAAGGAATGATAGGTGGGGTAGCAATGCACCACAAATAACGCACCTTAAAGGCTATTTGTTTTAATACAATGTAATTCAATATACAAATATATTTAAAGTATTATTATAAAACGTTATTGAGAATGCCGTAAACAAATGAAGATTGATTTTTTTAAGATTGCCTACACCCCGCGATCATACTTGTATAAACCGGCTAGAAGCCACCTTTGCTGAAATTAACAATAAGGCGTATGATAACATGTTTTGCTTTGAATCATATTCTGTTTAAAAGTTTTACATATATTTATCAGTTACGGGTGTTTAACCTAATAGTAGTGCATTGTACCTTTATATTTACATAAACATAAGTGTAATAAATAATACTTAAATCTAGAAATAAAATATTCTTATATTCTCGTGCTGTTCTGGATGAGTTTTGTTGTATATTGTTTTACTGCCTAATGTAACGAAACCGTAATAATTGTAACACAAATAAACACAAATTCAAAATCTTCTGTTGTTGTAAGGGTTCAAGTTATGGCATTCATGTATATGTACATTTCAATTATAAATCTATACAAAACAACTTATCCGTATATACATTAATTCGATACTTTACTTACTTACTTAATCCTATTCGTCCCGTATGTGACATAAGGCATCAACAATGCGTCTCCATTTGTGTGTGTCGTTGGCAGCGTGTTGTGACTCGCCCCATGAAAGCCACATCTCTTTCAATTCCTGTGTTATGGTGCGTCTCCATGTTGTCTTTGGACGCCCATGCTTTCTTTTCCCAGGTGGTGTCCATTCCAGTGCAATTTTGGGGTGTCGGGACTGATCCATTCTGAGGACGTGGCCTAGCCATCTCATTCGGCGCCGCTTGATTTCAATGGTGGCGTCATGGCTATTGGTTCTTCTGTAGATCTCTTCATTGGAGTTCCTCATTTGCCAGAAGATGCGACAGATTCTTCTCAGGTAACCGTTGTGGAAGACATTGATCTTCTTTATCACGCTCTTGGTTACTCTCTCCAGCACTCTGAGCCATACATCAAGACTGGTCTCACAAAGCTGGAGTAAAGTCTAAGCTTTGTTGTGATGCTGTATTGCCTTGATTTCCAGATCGGCATGAGTCTGGCGAAGGAACTTCTGGATTTGCTGAGTCTGGCTTGTATGTCCTTGTGTGCTGCATTGTCCTTGCTAATGACACTTTCGAGGTAGCTGAACTCACAGCCATCTGCGAGAGCAGCGTCGTTTACAGTAATTCGATACCACTATCACTATTATATACACAAAGAAAAAAGTTAAGCACCCCCTGATATATTGAATTATAGTATGTTACCACACATTTCAATTTAAATGCAAATATTGATTTTAACAAGACCATTGTTCCGTTAAAAAGATGTGATCATACAGGTGTGACCGGTAATTAAGATATTGAGGTAGTATGCACGTGAACCATGCCTCCCTTGCAATTTCCAAAATTCAGTATGCCCACGCTTCAAATTTGGGTATTTAAGTGAGGCGTTTTGAAAACAATATTCATTCTCTGTGAACATGGTACGAAGACGAATATCGGAGGCCCAAAGATGGCAAATTATCGGCATGCGGTCAACAGGGATGTCCTTTAAAGCTATTGGACGTCAGATGGGTTATCATTATACTGTAGTCAGCTGGGTTTTGAGAAAACAACAAACCAAACCAACACCGTCAAAGACTTGCCAAGATCCGGCAGACCACCCGTAACATCGCAGCGTGAAGACAGGGCACTATAACGCCTAGTTAGACGAATGCCATTTCCAACTAGTCCTGTTCTAAATAGATAATGGCTACCTTATAGACGTCTATCAACCAGAACAGTGAGGAACCGGTT